AAAAAAAAAAAAAAAAAAAAAAGAGCCGTCAGGTGCTTAAAAGTTAACCTTAGACTGAAACTTTGAAAGAAAATGGTGGCCGTCACAACTTATGACTAAAAATGTATAGTTTCATGCATTGGTTACACCAGCTGGAAAAACTTCACACAAGTCAAGTTGCCCGAGATTCACAGAATTTACAGAAAAATATTACATTTTTGTGATTTATATCGTTGTCAGGACGATTAATGTCTTATACTGGGATATGAGATTTTTGTCATATCGCACAGCCCTACCTCAGATGATAACTGGCTCTGGTTGGCACAATCAGGGGAAACAACCCAGAGCTACCCACAACCAACAAAATGAGAAGAAGATGCAAAAGGTGCTCCTGCTTCCTGGGAACTTCCAATGTTGTCATCCAACATGCCACAAGTTGCTTTATTCTGTTGTATGCTCTCATGTCCACTTCATCTATACTCCTCCAATCCTCACACATTCCCCTCCCGTGCACATTTGTATAAGTGGACAGCAGCTAAAAGATCTCCTTTGTTATAAAAATGTCAATGGTAGATCTTAGCCTGCTAATGCAGGGAACTGCATATAGGGTATAATCGAAATTTAAAAAAATACAAAACAAAACACATTGAAATTATGTAAACTGAAGTGAACTATGCTAACTAAGTGTGACGACAGTAATGAAGTAACTTTTGATACAGAGATAAGGAGAGAGAGCGCAACAAGAGAACAACAAGGTGTGACTCAAAATCAAATGATTGGAGTTACATCGAGTAATTGGATGCCAACATCAGGTGATAGCCATGTCGTACTGGAAAGGCAGAGAGAAGAAGGGGACTATAAGACCCTTTGCAGATAATGATTAGTCGTTACTTCCTCAGGGTTTTGTCGAAGTGTGCAGAAGATTAGAAGACCCTGCATCACACAGTAGATTTCACAGCAAGAAACCCAGAGGATTTAGCCTTCTTTTTGCAACCCACTTTGGACCACAAATTGAATTGAATATTTACTATCCAATATGGTGCTCACTACATACTGGAAGGGAACTATCTAAGGAGTTCCACGCTCCTCAAAAAGGATTTTATCCTGCGTGGCAAGGGGAAGAATTCATCAATGGCAAAGGTTTTCGCTCTCTTAAAAAATTAAAAATAAATCAAACTGACAGTAGATATTTAGCAACAGTTCTGATTTTAGGGCCTGGGGAACATTACTTACAACAGGCAAGCTTGTAATCTGATTTTTTTTTTTTTTAACTGTACTTGCCAATTACAACCTGAGAGATATGGTTTAAAATCAGGCACGTGCCAATGATGTCAACCGATTCTGATCTCTTTAAAAGAATATCATGAGACACTGTATCAAAGGCAGAGCTCAGATCATAGAGAAAGCATGGCTAACAGCACAAAGTCAGTTGCCATTAGTGGATCATTTGTGATTTTGTCCTGGACTTCATCTGTAGTGTGAAGTGGCAGAACACCAGACTGAAATTGTTCAAACGAATGACTGTTATTAAGGTGTACAACAACATTTTTTTCAAGAATTTTTGAAAGAAAAGGTAAATTTGCAATTGAACTGTACTTATTGAGGTTCACCGGGTTTCTGAAGTGTTAGATTTATCTCAGCTGTTTTAAGAGGTAGAGGAAAAAACCCAGGGATCAGGGAAGAGTGAATAACCTCAGTTATTAAAGGAGAGAGAGAGAGGATAAACAGGATGTTGCCAGTCAGAGGTGGGTCAAGGCAACACGTAGAAGGTTTAGATTTCTTTAAAATCATACAGTGTGCCATATGTGGAATTATCTAGAGCCAGCTGCTGACAGATGTTACTAACCTTAGTACTGAAAAAGGCTATAAAAATGTTCTAATGCTCAGTGCAGTAAACCTGAGGTGGAAAATTGTCAGGTGATTTAATGTAGAGAGTCCTTGTATTTCCTTCACCAGACCTCATTAGTACTGCATAATATTCATATTTGACTGCAGACAGAGCATCCTTATAATTCCACGTGTTGACGATGCATATGGACAGCAAGACCAGTCTTTGTGCAAAGCCATTCCAAGCAATCTTTAGTTTTAAGTTTGCATAAATCCAGAGTAAACCAAGGAGCAGAGTGAATGAAATAGACAGTCCAAGTTTTCAATGGAAAGTACTGAGTAGACTGTGTAGTCCATTATTGTAGTAGGACACCAGTTTATCAGGAGTAGATAAATTGTCTGTCAGTTCTACAGGAGAAGGCAGTTATGTCAATGTTTTTAATATTGCGATATGATAGAGCAAAAAGAGTTTGACTTAGATAATATTAAATGGACATCAAAAGATACCAGCTTGTGGCCAGATATGGAAAGATTAGATGCTATACGGTTCTGAGGAGTAACACTGCATACATCACATAATATCAAGAATACGGCCCTTAGAGTGAGACTGAAAATCAATAAATTGTTGCAGGCCAACGCTATTAACAGATGATGAATAATCTCTCATAAGAGTATTAGTGACAGTGTCTGGATGTATAATAAAATCACCCAGCAAACTAACATTGCAGGAGAAAAAACTTAGAAGCTGGATGAAGCCAAGCAAACACATTTTAATATTGTCCTCTTAATTTTCTGAGGCTGCCTAAACAATTACTTGGCTGATGTGGTTTCTATGGCTGCTATTACACCAGGCATACGTGCGCTTTACTACCAATGAGAACAGCAATCAGCACTCTCCCTCTGTCAGGGAGATAACACTCCAGCTCCTAATTCAGTCAAGCAGCCTTTGGGCTTTTTGAGCAAGACTCAAAAATCAAAAACTTAGTGTTCTGCATGCCACACTGGGGAGTCAGACAGCCCATAAAAAGCAAATACTGGGGTAGACAGAGTTGTTTATTCAGCTCTACACTGTTTGGTGGGCGCGCGTCCTTTTCTGATTGAGAGACCATTTGCTGTGTGCCATGGTGAATCACTAATTCTGAAATCTGCTCTTCAGAGGCTGCTGGGGCTCTAGTCTGAAATTTTAAAACAGGCCTCTGGTTTTTCCATGGAATCAACTCACTCGTGCAATTAAGGCACAACTGCAGCTTTTCCTTTTTAAAGAATAGGACAATCTGTTTTCACAATCTATTGTTACCCCTTAGCACCAATATTATGTATTCTACCTCAATTTTGCCCCCACAAGATGTACCAAGGGCAGGAGGCTTAAAAAAAGGATCATCTAGGCAGTTCGTCTTTACTTATTGAGCTCTGAAACTGGGGTTTGTGAACAACCACCGTGCTGGTTTAAAAGATGTATAGTTGAACCGTGCCACAAATCTTTGGTGTTCCTTTTGAACTGAGATACAAAGCTCAGACCGTTTAGCCATGGGTTACTGGCTAATATGAGCTAAGCTGACAAAAAGTGATGACTACAAGATAGCTTCATAATCCCTGAAGGAAGATTATCCCTGTCAGAAATGGACTTTGCAGGAAAAAAAAAAGGTAGAGTTGACTGAACCACCGAGAGAACTGCTCAACTATATTGACATTTTATGAAAAAAATGCTTTGTTTATGTTCCACAAACACAAAATACATCAAAAGAAAGTGTACAAGGTTACAGAATAAAATATAAACTCGTTTTCACATGTATTGTGAAATGTATGTATTTCTTTTATAACTTTCACTTAATTATACATTTTGCTTTTAACCAATAATAATGCTCATTTACGGTATACT